CTCAGGGGGTGCCCCCGGCTTGTTTTAGGGATGTTCTCCCTGGGCTGCGGTTTGTTCCGGTGGTTTGAGGAATTAATTCCTTCGACTTCCCGTTTGTTTCAGATGCGAAATGGAAAGCGATAACTGACCAAATCAAGAAAGACGTGGAGGTGTATAAGCCCTGTGTAAAGGAGAACTGCAGCTGCCACCGGAGGTGAGGGGCTGGTCCGCAGGGACCGCTTGGGCAGGAGAGGGGAGACTTCTGCCGAGCTGGGAATTGGCCAGAGAACATCTGGGCTCTGAGCTGTCACATCTGCAGCCGTCACAGGTCACGGTGCCTCAGGTTGCACAAAGGGAAGTTTAGATTGGGTATTAGGAAGGATTTCTTTACTGAAAGGGTTGTCAGGCATTGGAACAGCTTGCCCAGGGCAGTTTTGGAGTCCCTGTCCCTCGAGGTATTTAAGAGTCATGTCACATAGTGCTTAGGGATACGCTTTACTTTAGGACTTGCCAGTGTTAATGGTTGCACTCGATCATCTTAAAGGTCTTTTCCAAGCCTGGGAGATTCTGTGACTTCCATAGTTGCAGTAGTGTCCACCTGCAAACTGATCACGCTGCATGTTGTGCTCTGCAATTGAATGCACAGCAGGTCAGCATTTCATATATGATCGTGCAATAAAGCATACACAGAGCTGGTGACATTTTTATCTTGGTAAACCACTCCTGCCTTCTCAGTGCAGTGTGGCTAACAAGTCTTTCTCATGAACATTTAGAAGTGGAAGAAATCAACTGTGTGCAAGATATTCTAAATAGCTGGATCAAGGAAGGCTGCTGCAGAGCACAGATTTGTTTGGTGTGATAGTGTGCTGTAGTTTTTAGTGCTCTTTCTAGGGAGTTTAGTTCACTGCTTGTGAGAGTTGGAATGATGGTGGATATTTACCTACCTGACTTTCACAAAGTATGATTGAAGGGGAGCTCATTCAGGAAGACACAAGTCATGCTTACTTTTTTTTTTATATATATATAACTATGGAGTGTTATGTGTAATGCCAGCACTCTGACTTGAAATGGTGGCCTAATCTTTCTACAGTGAATGTAGTGCAGAGGTAGAAGCTCATATGTGATGCAAGACCACTGTAGGCCCTGATCCTGTGGTCAAACGCAGGCTGATCTGTCTTGTAGACATAGCCAAAACCAGACTTCCTTTCTGTACACTCTGACAGAGCATGGCTGCAGCGTGGCAAACGTTACAGGTGTGTAGGTCATCATTGCCACATGGGCAGGGATTGTAGGACTGGGTTTTTTTGATACCTGTAAGCTGCATTTTTATTTAAAGGACAAGAGGGAATTCAGGGAAGATTCAACAGATTCTTCTGCCTTTAGGGTTAGGATTCCAAATGCAAAAACACGGATGCCCAACTTTAAGCCTCCTACTTAAAAGTACAAGATGTGCTCGCTCGCTTTGGGGGTGAGATTGAGTCCCATATTCGCTTTTTATATCAGATGAGTCATATTGGGTAACTGTACACCGATTGGAGTTTTTGATCTTTGTTGCTGGTGAAATACTAGTGAGGAAAAGTCTCTTCTAGTTTAGCCTTCCAGTCTTTTTTCTTAAGTTCTATTTCAGGTACAGCCTAAAGACATCTCCTGATCTTTCAAAGTACACTCCACCATCTTCTACCCACCTTTGGGTAGAATACCTTTACAAGTGGTTACGACCTCCAGATCTGCTTCAGAACATGATAGTTAATAGTAACGTGAAGTTACAATTTCTGTGGGTCTCAAAACTTAGTTTTCACTAAAGCAGTAGTTTGTTTAAGGCTTGTTAAGAGGTGCTGCTATTGTGACAGGCATTACAAAAGAAACCGGGAAGATAATGCAGCACATACTCTCTGTGACACTTAAGAAACTCCATTCATTTTGATAGCTGATTTGGAGGTACGTAAACATGCGGCAGAGTACTGAAAGCCACTACTTTCCCCCACATAACTGATTCTACTTACGTCTGATCTTCTGTGGCCAAAGACTGAAGGTCCTATCTTGTTCATTGATCCCTTCCATTGCCACTTAGGTTACAGTGACATGGACGTGCCGTAAAACTTTCTTCCTGTTCTCAAGCTCGTTACATTTGCATCCCTGCACAATGGCAATTCTTCGTGTGATTCTACTGTTTTCTACCTGATGATGGAACAGCAGAATCCAGGAGATTGGAGGGGACTTCTTGAGGTCATTACGTCCAACTTCTCTGCTCAAGCAGGATTGCCAGGGCTGTGTCCAGTCAGGTTTTGAATATATCAAAGAGCAGAAGCTGTTTCTGTACCAGTATTTGACCACCCTCGCAGTTGGATCACCCCAACAAAGTTATGTTAAGCTAACCATTGATGTAGCGTCTACCAAAAGTGGGGAGGATGTCTTTGTGGTTGTTACAGTCCACAGCATTCATTAATTGCTCCAAGCAGTGGACCTGAGGACCTTTAGACTAAATTTACGTAAACTGTATCCTGTATTTTCTTATATTCATTAGTTTTGTGTTTTCATACTGCATTCCTGGAGCTTGCTGGTGATGTGCAGATGTCACAGAACGTAAGCTACATAGACCTGTCATCCTGGGCTGTCTCTTACTGCAACCAGCATCACTGGGTGATGCTGTTCCTTGCAACTAGACTCATACTTTTTTTTTTTTTTTTTGGTGTCTAAATAGCATAACGTTGTGTGAGGAATTTGGTCTTGGTGTGGCCCATCATTCATGGAAGGCCAGAGCACAAGCTTCACAACTCAAAGGTTAATGAACTGAAGGCTTTTACCTGTAACCTGGCAGGGTATGTAAGGTCCTTTCTAGGAGACTAGAGTTGTCCGTGTTGATTTAGCCTCAGACTCCTGTGCTGGGCTTTCTGTTCAGGCAAGCATCACTTAGATAGTCAAACAATGAAGCTTGGACCTTCTAGTCTCTGAGTAACAGCTTTTCCAAGTGACTTAAATTCTCAATTGCGCCACACACAGCAGAGTTCCTTGAAACTACATGGAGCTTGTTTTAGTTAGAAGTCTGTTCGGTATACTGCAGTAATTTAATGGACAGCATCCTCCCCATTGTACATAATAATAACTGATTGTTTTGTTTCAGTGTCTTGGAGCAGGACCTGGCTCCTTTTCGAGGTGGCATTTCCAAGGAGATGATGTCAGATGTGGTGAGCCGGAAGCTTGGGACACACTACCAGATCATTAAAAACAAATTATACCGTGAGCAGGACTGCTTGTTCCCTGCAAGGTAAGAGCTGTGCTGAACATCTTGTCTCCCTAGCTGGGATACAGGAGTACTTCCAACTCTGCCAAGTTGAAAATCATTGTGCTTAATGACATTTCAAAGGTCTGAGCTCTTACCTAGAAAATGATGTGTGGTGTTTAAAAGGAGCAAGAGCCAAGTGTCATTCTTGCAGGAACGGTTGGTTGGTTGTGGGATCACAGAGAATCCCTGCAGATCAGGCTTGATTTAACAGGATGGATGGTTTCGTTGTTGTCTGTGCTAGGCTACTCTAGACAGTTCCCAGCCCACATTGCATGTGGCTCAGGCTCACAGTCTCCTCTGTTCCTGTGCAGGGAGAAAGGCCTGCGAGAGGCTTCAGGGTTCTGCCTTGTCCTTACAGCTCTTTGCTGTATGTCTTTTCCCACAGATGCAGCGGAGTTGAGCACTTCCTTCTGGGGATCATTGACCACCTCCCTGACATGGAAATGGTGATCAACGTGCGAGACTACCCCCAGGTCCCCAAGTGGATGAAACCCATCATCCCAGTCTTCTCCTTCAGTAAGGTGTGCACACCTTCGGAAGCTGAGCATTTCTGAAACACGCATGTCCTTCTTTCTTTTGGGAACCTATTTCTGTAGATGATTCTTCCAACGTTTTGCGTGTGTCAGAATTGCTTGCTCTTTTTTGCTCATTATGTTTCCTTTCATTTCCAGTTTTCTGGCAGACAGACTTGCAGATTAACTGAATAGAACAGTTTTTCCCCTTGTTAGCTCCATTTCCAGGTTAAAAAAATGTACCTCTGCCACAGCAGAATGGTGCACAGCTGGATGGATATGTGCCAGGATTGCTGTCATTTGCTGCAATGCCCCTGCTAAATTGTAGCCGTGGTATATCAGCATTGTTGAGGATTTTTGATCACCAGTCAGCTGTCGTACGGTTAATGTCATTTAATGTGAATGTATTAGGTCTCCCTTTTGCTACCACAGATAAGCTTTTCTTATTTTCCCCTCTGTAATATTGCTGTTTCCTGTGGACCCTTTTTGCCTGGATTCTCTTTTCCATCTGCCATCATGCGCACACACACAGAGGCACACACATGCATAAAGACGTTCACTCTGTGCTTATCCATTCCTAGATACGAGAGCCTTTCCCTGTGTTTTCTTACTTCTCCCATTGTTAAACTTGACTGTAGTGTAATGTCTCATTCCTTCTGACAAAATATCATTATACCTCAAGCTTCAGCTAATCTTACTTTGCCTTACTTAGTGTGTGCCCCATGTGCCCAAAGCCTGCACCCTTGCTACCTAACCCTGATCATGATTCTCTCCTTGGCTGGAACCTAGCAGACAGGAACATGCAAAAAGCAGCAATAAACCATTTGCTTTTGCTGTTTTAGGCCCTATTCTGTTTTGGCTAACGTGTAGCATCTTACCCAGATCTTCAGCTTCTTCAGTCTGAACCCTAATACAGTCTGTAACTGGCCATCCTAAAACTGTCTCTAGAATTTCAATACAGTGTTGCAAGCACTGTCACTCAAGAACTCAGTTTGCTACCAGGTGTTGCAGTCCTGACCACTGACCATCGTGCAGCCTTAACTCTAGCCAGCAGAACCCATACTAGTGCAGAGCAGGTTGCAGGAATTTAATCTTTGCACCTGTATTCATCACCCTGCCCCTGGGTGCCTTGCAGGACCCTACAAGAATCTGAGTTCTCCAGTCACTGTTGTCCAGTATCTGAACTGAATATCCTTAGCTGAAACCCAGTGACCCAAGCACAGCTCCCATTTTATCCAGCCAGCATTAGCCTATACAAGAATGAGGAGGGCGCCAGTATGCTGGTCCAGGGTGGGTTCTGAGGCTGAAAGCACAAGCATTATGGGGTTGTCCAGTTCTGCATCTTGCCAGGCCATCTCTGGGGTGGTGATGGAGCTGTCGTGGCTTCTTAGCAATGCCAGTTTATAGCAAGATTGAGAAGGAGTAGATCATAGAAACAGATGCTTATTTAAGTTGAAAGAGACCTCAGATCACCCAGTCCAGCACCTCACTCAGAGCAGGACCAACTAGATCAGGGTGCTCTGGGATGTGTCCTCCCCAAGGACATGGTATCTACGAACAGTATTTTACCTCCTTGAGGATGAAAACACATTTCCCAATATCTGTTTGGAATTTCCCTTGCTGTAATCAAAGCCTGTTGCCTCTCATTCTGTCTCTGTGCTTCTGAAAGCCTCCATCTTCTCTGAACTCTTCCATTAGGTAGTAGGAGACAGCATTTAGATTCTCCCAAGCCACCTCTTCCATGCACAGACAAACCCATTCCTCAGCCTCTGGTCGTATGTCATGTGCACCAACCTCCTAACTACCCTGCTGGCCTTGGACTCTCTCCAGTATCACCAGGTGACGGATAGATGGATAGTTGTGTAGGATGTTTTGTTACTAGTGCAAGGAAATGGCCTATAGTCTGGTTTCATGAAAGGGTTTAAGTCTTACTTAAGTGCTGGTCTTCACTGCGGTTATATGGGGATCTCAGCATCCAAATAAGAGTGAGGAACTGAAATTCTTACATGGCCTGGATATTTGTTCCAGTGAATTGTTAAGCGATTTCTAGGAAGGCTGGAATGAACTGAAGGTGCTGGAAACCTAAACATCCAAGTGTTTATAAGTGGCTCCATCTCTGAGGAGATAATAATGCCTCTTATCAGTAGGAAACATTTGTAGCTACACCTAGGCACAGGTCTTAAGAAAGGTGAGGTCAGGTCTCAGGTCTTCGCTGTTTACTGTAATTGGCTGTATTGCAAACCTCTTATTTTCTAACATGAAGGTCCCTTGTTGTCACACAGCAAGACATAGCCTTTTTAAAACCTTTGAAGCATTTCAATATTGGATTGTCTTCATAGGAAATCCAGCAATACTGTGGTGACTGCAAAGCTCTCGTGGCTGCTTATGGAACAGTAATGGAGAAAGCCATCAGAACTCCCAGAAGGGACATTTGTTACTGACAGGCTCAGTCAGTAAGCTGAAGTAGATAGTGCTCTTATTCTTACATTGCTCTCCTTTTTGTGAAGACAGCTGAATACAATGACATCATGTATCCTGCCTGGACGTTTTGGGAAGGAGGACCAGCTGTTTGGCCAATTTACCCAACAGGTTTAGGGCGCTGGGACCTCATGAGAGAAGACCTCAAAAGGTACTGCATTTTGAAAATGGTGTTGCGTGGGGAGAGGTTTAGTGGAAGACAAGCTCACAGTAAAAGCCATCTAACACTGGGCAGCATCGGGCCAATGTTGAAGCCTAAGACCATAGGTCTGTTGGCCTGTGATCTGTCCTGGTGCCTCTCATTAACTAGGTAGAGCCTAACTACTGTGTAAGAATTCTCTGTGGAAACCTTGGATGATGTAACTGGAAGTTATAATTAGCTCCTCTGTTTCCAACACTTTAGTAAGGAATGCAGAGGACAAAGTATACACATTCTTCATGCTGTCAGGGCCAGATTATTATCATTTTCTGTGAAAGCGTTCATCAGTAAAGCAGCAGTTATCTTTTGCCTGCAGAAATCTCCCCTGACACATGGAAATCTTTTCCTTTGTATCCAGCTGCTTCTGTAGGAGCTGAGGTTGTTTTCACTGCTGGGATGACCCAGGATGTTTGTATAAGCTTCTGGAAGGGTAAAGGAAAGCCTTATTTAGAGCTGCTTTTACTTAAGTATTATTGTGCAATAGAGAAACCTGGAATCCTTCCCAAGAATCAAGAGTCATTACTGGGCTGAGAGTAAGACAGAAGACGTTTTTGACTGGGAGTCTCTTTTGGCAGGGTCTTTGAGTTAGCAGAATAAGGGGCTATTTTGCCTGTAGAGTGACAAACAAATTGTGCAACATTGAGTGAACATAGAAACCTAAGAAAAAACCCATACCTCAGTGTCAATCACTTGACATCAGAATGCAAGGTTAAATGTTTCCATCTTCAAAATCTGAAGATCGATAGGACTTATCATAGCTGAAGCCTAATATGATATAATATGAAGGTCCAGAGTACTTACTAATCCTTGCTTTCTGAGTGAACCCCACTGGTGTCACTGGGTTACAAGCACATGCAAAGCTTGACCTTCGCAGATTTGCAGATCGGTTTGAGGATCAGGACCTACACATCAAGCAAGGTACAACAGAAAAGTTCCCCAGGGGGAGTCAGGTGTCTGCGCTGGCAGAAGTAAAACATGTGAACAGCTATTTTGAAAGACTTGCTTGGATTTAAAATGAAAGTTATTTGGAGAAACAACGAGCCTCCGTGTTTTACATGCAAAACACGAGGTGGGTTGTTTTTTTATTTGTTTGGGGTTTTTTTTAGTGGGAAATTATAGTGGTTAGAAACTCTTAACCATTTTGCAATATCCATATTTAGTGAAATACAGAAAAACAAAGCAACAATGCAAAAAGTGGATTTAAATTTTAGGTAAATTTTCATATCCTTTCAGGTTTGGTGAGGGGGGTTGTGTGTAATATATTGTTTTGACTGAAAGGTATTCTGAAAAGTAGTCTATATCATGTTACCTTAAACACAATATTCACAGGAAAACCTGTTTCATTGGACCTGGCTGAGATTTTTTCCTGCTATAATGAAGAAAGTGATTTCCATCAAAAATGAAGAATAATAAAAAGAGATCATGCTGTGAAAACTGATGAGAGCGCTATGTCATGGTTATATTAAATCATTTATTGCCATGTGTAAACAATATTTTCAGATCTGCAGAAAAATGGCCATGGATGAAAAAAATCTCTAAAGGATATTTCCGAGGATCCAGGTGAGCCTATTTTCCTATAACAAGAGATTTACCAACATAGGCTTTGACAGCTGTCTGTACGCAGAAATTTCTGCATCTCCAAGACCTAAACAAGTGTAACCCAGAATGTATTTTTTAAAAGTAAGGAAAGCAAGACATTTTGTACAGCAGCATTTCACCACTAGCGATTCTTCCTAAGAGATGCCATTTGCAACTGATTTATAAGTCTCATATTGGAAACAAAAGTTGTTATGAGTTTGCTACATTATTTCCTAATGAGTAAAAGTGTCACACTAGTAACTGGCTTGTTTTGTTCTGTGGAGGGAACTGCAGGTGCACGGTACAAATTTAAAGATTTGGAATTGATGTACATGCGTCTTGCCAGTGTGAATGCTTTATTCACTGTGCAAGTGCTCGACACTGAATCAAAAGTATTCTTGCTTTAAGTTACCTGGATGGTGAAGGAGAAGAGAGTGGATTATTTTTGCCTTCTCTCCAGTTACAGTTGGACAACAATGTTAAACCCAAGACTTTGTTCCTCCCCAGTGGCCAGCAGGGATGGAATTGATGCCTTACTAGATAGGGAGGGAAGTCAAGGTCAACAGAAAGGGCTTCTTCAAATACATTGCCAGCAGAACTAACACTAGAGGCAATGTAGGCCCTCTGGTGAATGAAGTGGGTGCCCCGGAGGGAGAGGACAGAAAGAAGGCAGAGTTACTGAATGCCTTCTTTGCCTCTGTCTGCACTGTTGGAGACTGTCCTCAGGAGCCACAATCCCCTGAGACCCCAGAGGAAGTCAAGATAGAATTTGCAAACTCTAAGGATCAGTTTGAACACTTGAACATCCAT